GTGACTGCCCTGTGGTGTTGGAGGAAAAGACGCCTCTCCTTTTGCATCCTCTGATCTATGTACACCAGCAGCTCAGCTAGTAGAGGTGATTGGCACATGTCCCAGGTAGTGCAGTGCATTTTGTGTGCCTCAAAGGTCATGAAAAATGTAGAAACCGTCACCAGTAGGACTGCAGTATCACTAGTGCTGTTGGGAATGGGCCATTCTATTCTGCTTAGGCACTGCTTAAAAATAGCGTAGACGTACTGCTGCCCTTTTACTTCTATGGCCTTTTGGGCTGTCCTTTTATATTTTTGTATTTATTCTTTTTTTTTTACAAAATCCCAAGCTGTGTCTGTTAGCTTGTATTTTATCCCTCTTACTATATACCTGTATTTATTCACCCAGCCAGCATCCAAACATAACACTTCAGACCAAGCGAATGTTAGTCCACAAAAGCATATGCCACAATATATTTGCTCATCTCTAAGCAGAAGCACACAACATTTTTTTTTTGGCTAAACTGTTCTAAAGCACTCTATATGCAGCTGCCTTTAAAGATGGTTTGAAAACATCAGCTGGTACAGAATGTTTTCATCCAATGAATAGAACAAAAGAGTCGTCACTGATTTTTCTAATTGCAACAGCCACAGCATCCAAGTGTGTTCAGAGCATTAAATGGTGCTGAACACTTTCTCCGCATGCCATTTTCCTGATAAAAAATCCTTCCCTTGCCCTTGGAGAAAACGGATTTATTTTTTAAGGGAGGGCATTTTGATCAGGAAATGATCAAAATTATTAAGAGGACAGGGTTAATATCCCTAACCATTTAGTTCCCCATCCCTCACCGCTAGGACAGCACTGTGATTCCAAAACTAGGCTGTCAATCTCAGAACTTCCAGTAGAAGATGTATTTTGGCCCAAAGAGACTTGCTGACACCAATATAGACCCCCCTAAAATTTCAGAAGTGAAAGAAGGGGTGTTTTCCTGTTCCCAAGAATCCCTTTCCAGGCTCTTTGCACCTCCTCCTGCTTGCACACTGTTGGCTCTCCTAAACCTTCTTTAGGTGGTCTTCAGGACCAGTCCCTCCATTGGCCAGTGAAGCTGGCCACCAGAAGTGGCCTATGCAAAGGCATGTGGGGAAGAACAGGGCGGTCCCATAGCCAATTCCTCCTGAGCCCCACACTGATTCCTCTGCTGGGGGCCAGAGCTTTGAGTGCTTCTCTGTTGACCTTAGATGGAGTGGCAAATGCTGGTCTAGCTGGATTCTGTGCATAGAGTGAGTGTGTGGAGGGGCATCTCGTCCTTTGACAAGGTGAGAAAAGGACTTAGGTTAGTCATGTTTAGTCTGCATTTGCCTATCTTCCACCAGTTTGGAGTTTGCTGGATATTTGCTGTTTTTGTTAAAGGGAAACTTGAAAAACAACATTTTTCACAGTACCTTACCAACAGTCAAAATAGACCTCAGCAGCATATGCTGCCATGTGTGTACACATGTCTGTGAGTGTGTGTGCCCACACTTGTGTGTGTGTGTGTGTGTTGCCTTGGTGTTTAAGCATATACATTGGCTACATGTACCCTGAAGACAATACGTCTTTATCCAGCTGTACACTTTCAGTGCCCCAAGGGAGGGAACTGAATCATCTTGAAAAATGACAGCACTAGTAACTTGCCGGCTGAAGAACTAAGAAGATACTATTCCTGAAAGGCACGAAACAGGGACAAAATTAGGACACTGATCTACATGCGAACAGAAAGTCAGGACTGCCCTGATAAATTTGGTTACCTACTGTACATTTTCAGCCGAGCCTCAGGGAAGAAATACTGACTCTGATCTAGGAAGCTGTTAAGCTCTGTTTCATGGGCAGAGAATTGGGCAGCTGCAGTGCAGTTCAGAAAGGCATTTGAACGCTGGGCAGCCCTTTTGGAACTCAGGTCCTGAAAGCATCTTTCAGGGCAGGGGTGGGGGATGTGTGGCTGTGCTGACTAGGGAGGATGGGACTTGCAGTCCCAAACATTGGGAGGGCCCCATGTTGCCCACCTCTTCTTGACAGCAACAGTGCTTTTTAGATCTCTTCCACGTGCCCGAGAGGTAATGGGTGAGAAGGGCACGGCAGGGGAAGTGCATCCAGCTTAGCGCATCACCAGCCGACTGCTCTTAAGCACTCTTTGAAGAGGTCAAGTGAAGGAGATGTTTGAAAATATCTCAAGAAGAAAAGCTGAGGAGCTCAGGACCTTTTAATTACTCTACAGATACGATTACAGGCAAGCGAGAACTGATGAAAGTTCAGCTATGCTCCTTGCTGCTCAGGACCGAGGCGGCGTGTGGGGCTTCTTATTTTACAGAAGATGGTCCTCAGTTTGGAGGCAGCCTCTGTTCAGTGGGTTGTTCGAGTTTCAAGGTAAAAGCAGTGTGTGGAGCGAGAGCGGCGTCCTGTCAGCAACAACAGAGAGTGCAGGAACACAAAGTTCCCGGGCATCGTCCTCTCCCACCATGGGGAGACGCACTGCATTGCCATCCAAGTCACAGCAATTGGATTGGATCCCGTGAGCTGGCAGAAAGGGACCCCGCCCACTTGTCCCCTCCAGCCCCTTACAAATGGGTGGACACTGCTGGGTGGGCTGAACTGTGAGGTGGAAGAGAAGGGGGTCCCTGGAAACTGAGCAGAGGCGTCTCCCATCCGTGGGAGAATGGTGCAGGATCCAGCCCCTCATCCTTACACATGCATCTAGGCATATATGTCAGCATCCTGGGTGGTGTGCGTGTGGCCACCCTATTCCCCTGCCTTTACTCTGTTCCCGGGGCTCTGATTATTTGAATGGCCTGCACGGGGCTCTTGCTTCTGTCACCACAGAGCCTGTTTTGCCAGAACAATGCCTGGCATGGGCTCACTGGTGGGAGAAGACGGTTTCCTTGGCTATAGACTTGCTCCAGAAGAAACCTATCCAGTCTGCACCTTCTGTGGGCCCTGATTCTCCGTGTACATTTGAATATATTTTTCTTTCTCATCATTGCAGACTATGGCATCAAGTGAACATCAGATGCCATAGACTACAATACGATTGTTTTCAGAAATAGGTAGGCAGGCTAATCCTATGGTCATTGTGAGGCCATCCCACAGACCAAAGGTTACAATGGATTCTGCTCCCAAGGTTGTGGACATTCCTATGACATCCAGAAGAGGACTCTGTTGGGCTGTTCCCTTCCTCTCATAGGCACTGTGGAGAGTGCCAGGATGTCAAGGGGGTGTTCTGTAGGGCAGAGAAGGGAGAAGCACAGAGCCACAGGCTCTTACAGCCTCCTCATCGCCATTACCACCCACTGCTGGTGTGTGATCTGGATGGGCTTAGAGGCCCTCCAGTTGAATGTCGTTAGGAGGAGGAGGCAGCGGCGGCATCCTATAGATGGAGGGCACCAGTCCATCTCCTGGGAGTGCAATCTGGAAGATACTCTTTACAGCTCAGCCCTAAGGAGTGTCTTCTCTGTAGCTGTGAAAACGGTGATTAGCTGTGCTGCTGGATTATGTCCTTGGCCCTCCAGTGGAAGTCCTCACTTGCGAAGCTGGAAGCAAAGAGGAGGAAGTGCTGTAGAAGCCCCAGTTGGCTGCTTGCTGGGCTGGCGCTGTTGGGTAGCGGCCCTGGTGCAAATCAGCTTGTGGCAGGAAGACATTTTTCAGTGGTGCTTCATTTTGGATGCCCTGCCCTGCCCTGCCCTGCCCTGCCCTGCCCTGCCCTGCCCTGCCCTGATTGATCTTCCCAGTGAGCACCCTGCTGTAGTTCAGGAGGGGTGGGAAGATTCAATCTTTCATTTTGTTTGGCTCTGATGGAGGCGTTGCTGCGCTTTCTTGGAGATATAAGTACAACTGCGTCCAAACAACACTGAACTACAGTCATTAAAATTCAGACTTCCTGTCTTGAAAAAGAGAGATTACTGTCCAGGTCAATCCCAAATCAAGAAAAGTGCCATAATGCTGGCAAATCCTTTAAAAGAAAGAATTTGCAATTTTGCATTGTGTAGGTAAAAGAAATGTAGGATATCCTATAATGAAACTACATTATTGCTGGATCCGCTGTGAGATAGTACATGGCCCATCATGCTCAATGGGTTTCATTCACAGGAGAGTGTGCACTGGATTGTGGCTGTAATCATTCCATAATATTTCAGAGTCAAGAGCAGGAAGTGGCACATCAGTGTCAGCAATATTATGTTGTATATTTAATTAGCATACCTTTTAGCCTTCATACAAGGCGATATGAAATATTTAAACAATTTTTGTTTGAACATACTTCTATAAATGAAGTCTTAAGTCATTAATGCATGGAAATATGTGGCCTTATCAATGCCTTTGGTTTTAAAATTAGATGTGGGGTGAGACGTCCAGCTGGCAAAGATCTCTTTGAGATTGTCAAGGTCCGGAAGCTCCACACTTACAATCCGGCTTGTCCCCGCTTTGAGGCAAAGATCCAGACCATGTAAATCTTCTTGTCCAACTCTGATACTTTAGTGCTGCTACTTAACATTTATAGAGCACATTTCAAGCATGTAAAACAATCCATAAACATACTGTGAGTAATATTTATGTCAGCTCTGTAATGTAGGCCAGCACAATCATCCCTGATTGCAAGAGCGAACAGACTTCAGGATTGTGGGGTCTACATCTTGTTGTTTTACTAAAACATGAAGTGCAAAAAGACATGTACTTAGCATTAAAACATTGTGAGCCCTGGAATGAGCTTTCAGTTTCAGCACTGAGTGGAACTTTCAGGGAGGAAGAAAGGACAGGGGATGGAAGGGATGGAAGGGAAACAGAAGCTGAGTGACTGGCTAGTGAATGTCGCTGATCTGGAATTGGAAGCCAGGAGTTCCAGGGTCCTTAATTCATTCAAGGCTATTTTACTCCTGTGGCATTAAGAAGATGGGTTAATGCTAAAGAACGTTCCGCTTATAGACCTGCTGAAACAGCATGGTGATATGAGTAAAGCATCTGGTGTCCCCCCCTCTTTTTTTTTTTTTTTTTAGTAGGGCAGTGCAACCGATTGTTCCCACCCCACCTTGGCACATCACAGCTAATCCATGGCAACGGTACCAGCGTTGGCACAGTAATAACATTCCAGTGTTCTGCAGAACATGAGCTGATTGGAGAAGGAGTTGTCACATGCATTTGGAAAGGAAATGGTACACAGTGGACAGCAGACATTCCTTCATGTAAACGTAAGTATTTTTTGTTTGTAAGCAGTGTGTGTCATTCTTCTCCATATCTTTCTTTTGACATATAAGTTATCCATAGCATTGGCCAAACTGGTAATGATGTGAGGTAATGATGTGAGGGAAATGATTGCTGACATCTAGAGTACTCTAATCATACTCTGACATCAATAGCTGTCATAAAAGAATGGCTTTCAGAAACCTGTGAGCTGGATATAAATGCCACTGATTTTAACAAAGTTCTCCTGAACTTATTTTCCTGTAGCTGTTAAGACATGCCATTTCTCGAAAATTGCAATATGTCTGCTTCTTGTATATAATATGATTGTGAATAGGTGTATCTATCTATTTATTTATTTATTTAATGCCATACTTTTGGAAAAATGATTGATTTCCTTGGAAAGTGGCGAGTTTTGTAAAGTGCAATTAGGCTATTGCCTGTGAAGAGCAGAAAGAAGCAGCCATCATATTGACAAATTGGGCTTGAATGGCAATGATGTTACTGTCTTTTCACTCAATGGTTTTTTTATTTATTGCACCAGTGACAAGAATCGGGCTGGGGAAGGAAACTTGACACCAAGCGCCAGGTTTCCAGCACTATAAATCCTTGACAGATCTGAAGTGGACAGGCAGTGCCCTGATCCTTTGAACTTGCTTGTCATCCTGAACCACAGTTGTACAGCCAGGTTAATGGAGCTTTCTTTCCCAGGAAGTGGCTGCTGTTAGGTTTTGGAAGATGACGCAAGAGCAGCGGAGTCTGGGGACTCCATTGTCAGCAGGGCAGCTTACCCACTCCAGGCTTTGGCTGGAACTTTAAAGGAACTGCCCGTGGAGCTGAATCTGCTTTGGGCTGTGGTACTACTGATCCACAGTCACTGGAGTCAGCAGCCTCCATTGCACAAGAGATACTTCATTAGAACATTAATTAGCCCTGTGTTGAGGCTTGCCATCCAGTTAAGTGAATCAGTTAGTCTGCAATTGATGGCTCAGTTCAATTTCTTTTCCTTGTTACATCCAGGTGGAGCTGCAGATATTCTGCACTCTGGAAGCAGTGGGGGGACTGGATGAGAACTAAACAACCGAAGCTCAGTTCAAATGACACAGAGATGCTATTGGTGAATGAATGCCCTCTCAAGCTAGGGAGGTCCTAGCTTCACCCAAGAGATCAGCCTTTCTGCATTTGTCAGAGGTGATTTGATCCGTGCTCAGTCTAAAAACTCAGTCTAATATTAGACTGACTACAGCACTACAGTTTTCTCTACTGCATTGTGCAGGGAGCTGCTGGTGAGGAGAATCTGAAAGCTACAGCTGAAAACTTGATGCCACATTGCCAACCAGGAACAAGCACCAGGAGCATTTTGTGCACATGTTAAGACAGCTTCATAAATTAGATATGAGTTTAAGAAAAACCCTGCTAGATCAGCATCCATCTAATTTATTTATTTATTTATTTATTTATTTATTTATTTATTTATTTATTTGGGAAACTTGTAATTCAGCATTCTGCTCGCACAATAGCCAACCAGCTACCAGTGGAGGAACCATGTTCCCCAGCAGCTGGCCTACATAAGCATATTTGATACTGGCAGAAGCACAGAGCCATCCGAACCAGTAGCCTTGATAGCTTTTTCCTCCATGAATTCGTCCAAATGCAGTTTAAAGCCATCTTTTTATCTGTCCCAAATCTCCCACCTGTCAGCTTCATGGGATGACCTGGGTACAAGTATTATGAGAAAGGGAGAAAAATGTCCCAGTATTCATAGACTTTACAACTCCCCCATCCCCATTACTTGCCTTTTTTCTTCTACGCTAAACAGCTCTGGGTGTTGTCATTAGTTGCCCTTTTCTTCACTGGTTACCAGTTCATTCCTGGGCTCACTTCAAGGTACTGCACTGGGACCAGGTTATTTGAAAGACTGCCTCCCTCCACACTGATCTGCCCATCAGTTAAGATCTTTGTTAAGGCAATATATAAATGTTAATAATACTTATCTGCTAATAGCTATCAAGACAGCGTACAACAATTCAAAACAATAAAACCTTGTCATGATAAAAGCAAGATCCATGAAAACAAAAACATTAACAACTGCACATTTTAAAAGGCTTTTCTTTAATGGAAAAGACGGACCTTTGCACCCTTTCTAAAGGGCAAGAGACAAACATTGGCCATTAAATGTTGACTGCCAGGTGATCTATTAATCTAGGAGATGGTTTAACCATTAAGCTCAGCTTTAGAGGTGAGTTAGTTGGTTGATTTCAATTTGCATCCCAGCTTTCCATCCTAAAAGGTGGTGTTAGTTGCATTCCAGGTTCCCCCTTTGTATTTCTAGGGCTTGTTAAGACTAGTTTTCTTCCAAAAACTCCAGCACATGTGACATATTGAATCAGTCCGGACAACTTGTGAGCCATAAAGTGTGCTGAAGCCAGCCTGCCTTATATCGAAGCCTGTTGGGAGCTGCGTTTGTTCCATCCTCTTTGTTTCCCTTGCTGTTGTTATTGGCCTCCCTGGGATTCCAAGAAGAGGGGGCAGTCTGACACTCAACACGAACAGTACTTAAGTTGTGTTGGGCTCATTCTGGGTGGTGGCGATGCTGCTGCCCATCTATTTGCCTCTCTCCCCGCCTCTCTGCACCTGCACCCAGTTCAAGGACTGCTTGTCTTCTGTCCCCTCACTGCTCATTTACTCAGGACAGGTGACCAGGCAGCAAGAATAAGAAGGGGGTGCGGGTCCCTGGGAATTGGTAGTGCCCCCCCCCCCATCACGGAACGAGCCTTGGCAGGGTGGCCAGCAGAATCTACCTCGGATGTCACAAGTTGCACAGTTCTTGTGCACTGAGATTGTTTCCTTCTATTCCCTGTCCTTTCTTCCTCTCTGCATCCGCAGGATTACTTGCTGTGCCAACTTACTTGTGAGGATTTCATTGCTCATGTAAAAATAGGACACTTTTAAATAGTCTGCTCAAAGACATTCCCAGGTTGGGATGAAGCCAAAACACTCCAACTGCGAGGGGCTGATGCTTAGGTGTGGAAAGCAGGCAGAGCTATCGTCGCAGACGTCAATCTGTGACTGTGTTTTATTCCAGCCATATCCAAATACGAAACCTTCGGATTTAAAGTGGCAGTGATTGCCTCCATTGTGAGCTGCGCCATTATTCTGCTGATGTCTATGGCTTTTTTAACCTGCTGTCTCATCAAATGCGTTAAGAAAAGTGAGAGACGAAGAGCTCAAAGGTATGTCAGGTTTGACAGGGGGAGTCATTTTAAGCCGAGGGTTGTAAGGCAAGGCTTGGGAACCTCATGCCTGGCTGTCAAATCCATTCCTCCTGAGGCCCCCTTCCGAACCAGAAGCCCATCATGCGGCTGCTGGTTTCCTAGTCTCTTTTCCCCTAACCACCCACTGCCTGGTGCTTTCCTGGCCTTTGGCAGTCCCTCCTCACTCTCAAAGGTTATTACGCCTCTTCTAGGGCCTAGTTCCTGGATTAAGAGTTTTCAGCTATACTATGCCGGTGTTTTTTCCTATTTTAGCCACACCCCATTTGCCTTTGCAAAGCCACACTTTGGAGGTGGTGCCACCTTCCACTTAAAAATGGCCCTTTAGGGATTTTCTGAAATTGAATTCAGCCACTGGGCACCTATTTTAAGACAACAGTTGAAATATCAGGTTGAAGATAGAACATTATTTCTCTGTATATTTATTTCTTGTTCAGGGATGAAAGGGAAGCTAAGTGGAAGGTTCCATAGTTCTCTGTGCCTCCTATCACAGTATCCCAATTTGTGGTAGGATTAGCAGAAACTCAGTGGAGGAGGAGGAAGAACCACAGTATAATGCCCCCACCCCATCCCAATATCTGAGTAATAAAATGGCCTTGTGAGAGGGTTCCCCGATTCCTATGAGATACAAGCTCTGCTCCACCATTAGACAGAGCAAACGACCACTTCAAGCAGACTGTGTTTGGGGTGGATACCAGGAGCCATTGTTGGACGACAGTTGTTTGGACTGTGTGACTTCCTAGAGTAGCCACCTGGCCTTGGTGGGGATGTTGCCCCACTGTCAGCTGAAGTAAGATTAATTTGCCAGTCCAGCCTATTTCTGTATGTTTTCAAGATCTGAAATGCGTGATCTAAGTAAATAGATCTTTTCCCACAAGATGCTGAGAAAGAATGCTGACGCACGGTGACCCTTCAGTCTCCCAAGTGGGTTGCAGGAGCAGATCACAGCCCAGTTGCCAGGCTATTCTCTGAGCCACCAGCCTCACCGTGAGCGGAGCCAGCTATGCAACACATGGAGCCGCAGCTGGCAGCACTGCAAATTTACTTTCAGGAGGAAACAAGCCATGGGAGGTTGCTGGTATCATAGGCAATTACATAAGTTTTGGCTCTGTGCAACGTGGATGATGGATGATGCAATAAGCATTACAAAGAGTGCATGTGCTTGAGAGAATCAAAGGTTGAGTCTAGTGTTACTACTCCAGATTTATTTGGCGCTGTTCCCATACTTGGGATAGCAGGGAGACATCTAGGAGGTTTCTAAGGTTCTGCTCGCTCCATCTCTACTCGTCACACCCACAGTCATTCTTCTCTTGTTACTGGCTTGTAATCAATGTCTACACAAGTGTAGATAGGGAAAAGCCTAGTTTTTAAAGAACTGGGCTGGGGTGTACTGGAAGTGGTAGATATTTTTTCTGCCTAAATTTGCATAGGATCACATCCTAAATCATTCATTCCGGTCAAGCCAGAGGAACTGAAACAGAAGTGAGTCAGTGAATGCACCTGGCACAGTTGGGCACTGAGGTGGGTCCTGATTGCTGGCATTGCTTCAAAACGTAATAATTTTAAGTCTGTGGTGCTCATCCCAGTGCTGTGAAGAGAATTACTGGGCTACCGAAGATGTTGCCATTCTCTGTCCCCAGAAGGCCCACACATGCTTTGTCGACTTCTCTTCATAGCACTGGTCCATGCATGCCCAGCATCACCCTTCCCAGACTTCAGTAAGCTGACCTCCAGCTTCACAAGGCTCCTCCATTGTGCCGTGGAAAGTGCTTATGTCCAAGAGGGGGTGTCCTGGGAGAGGCTGTGGATCCGCCTGACCCACTTCTCCCAGCAGCATGGGGAAAGCTTAGCAGGTGGATCGGCCCTGGCATTTCCAACGTCCAGGCTCTGTTTGATGTGCTTCTCATCTGGAGATACACATGAGATGTCTGCTGCCTGTTTTGGCAGGGATATGCAGCTGTGGTACCAGCTCAGAAGTGAAGAACTGGAAAACATGCAAGCAGCTTACTTTGGTTTTAAAGGCAGGAATAACAACAACAATACATGTAGCAAGCCAGTGTTTGATGACCATGATGGCGTGGCATATGACAACCAAGGTTTTTGCAGGTAAGGAAGCCACTATTATGGCACCTTTTTCAACAGCTTTTTCATCGTTGCTTGCCACAAAAGGAGCACGAGATCGTGTAAGGACAGACATTGTCAGCCGATGGAAGACTCTGAACTTTGCACAAACACCTTCACTCTCTGTCATGTTGCAGATATATGTGGTGTAATGGTACATGTTCCATCCCGCGGAGTGGTAAATGCCTCCATCTTCGGAGCATTGTAAAATGTTCCGCTTTCCATCCAAAAATCACGTTACAAAATGAAATCCTTTGATCATTCTTAGAGTTGCTCCTTCAGGCTCTGCTGACATGCAGTGATGCACTGGTTTAATTTAACATGCACCACTTTCGTATATGTGTTGCAGTCGTCTTTGGGAGGATGCTGTGTCAGGCACTGAAGTGAAACTACGCTGCAGTTCCGTATGCGATGCAGATAACGGAGGAGCAAGCTACAGATTACGCTTAATGTCCCTCTTCCAATTTTCTTTAAGTAATTCCATTCTTCCAGCAATGGAAGCAGAGATGTGTAATTGGCATAGTAACACTTGGCATTCTGCAGAGATAGCCAGGGGGCTGTGTGGTGCTCCTGCAGAGCTCCGCAGAAGCACAGGACAAGGAGCTGCCCGGGTGCCCAGGGCTTCCGAGCAGCAGCTGGAACTCTGCTGCTGCTGCTGCTGCTGCTGCTGCTGCTGCTCTGGTGCAAGGCTTACCCATGTGGCTGCTCTGTTGCAGAGCCAGGGAGGGTGGAGCCTGGGCGTTGTGGTCTCCTCAGTTTCCTCTTCCTTTCAGCACTGCTCTTCAAATCATCAGGCTGTACCGGCTGTTACCACTCAGCAGAGGTTGATGGGAGGCGGGGGGCTGGGGAACTTCTTGAGGAGGTTTTGGGTGGCTCAGCGTTACTGTCTGTGAAAGACCCACCTTCTCACTTCAACTGGAGAATAAGGAAATGAGTTTGCATGTGCTTTGCATGCGGGAGAGGGGAGGGGAAGAGTCGCACGATACATGAAGCAGTTTGCAAAGGGAAGTCGACTGCTGGAATTGCCGGCAGCAGCTGCTGGTGCTTCTCTCCTTGCTGTCATGGTCATTCAAATATGAGGCACTAGCAATTGCGGGGCAAGGTCCCCCACTGGAAGAGGATGAGGAGAAGATGGGGAGGGAAGAGCAGCACCTTCCTGCTTCCAAGGAAAGAGAGGCGAGCTTCCGGATTGCAAGATCACAGGCCGCTTGGCACTGGCAGGAGCCTTGGAGTTCCTGCCCACCCCTGCTTATTTCAAGGCATTCCCCAAATTTCATGCAAGCAACAGGGCAGGGAAAACATCTTGTATACCTAAAAAATGGAGTTATGGTGCAAACAGAGGTATGTCAACCCAGCAGTCAGTCCCCTTACCTTATTTAAGGTAAATGTCCATAGGATTGCAGCTCTTGCAGATGGGAAGATGGAAATAAGTATGGAGGGAGTTGATAGATGAATGCATTGCAAAAACTGTGGCACAGAGTGCTGAGGGATGTTTATCAGCCATCGTATGCAGAGTAATAAGAATAGCGCTTCTCTAACACTAATCCCTCTTTCCCTCAGTTGCGCAAAAGTCCATCTTGGTGCTAACCTAATAATACCACAGTGGCCACCACACTGAATTAGCCAAACTCTCTCTGCACTCCATTACAGATGGTCATCTGTAATGAGCTCCATGCTGAGCTTAGTTTGAAATGTGAAAATCTGCACATCTGTGGAGTCTTTTTGTTATTATTTAACCCAGTTGCTATTATTAATAGTATGATTCTCAGACATAGCAGGAATACAGCAGCTGTGCCATGGCGGAACAAATGATTGCCATTTTAACTAAATGAAGTCTGTAGGGTTGGGATGGCCGTAAGACCATTAACTGCAGCGTCCCGAATGGTCCACGAGCATCCTGGTCACCCAGCTGTCCCAGGATGTGCCTGACTTGGCAGAGGCCTCCTCACCTGTTGCTCCTGGGCAATTGCACTTCCGGCCTGGACTGGTGACATGAAGAAGGGCAGGAGTAGAAGCCTTCCTCATCTGGTACTTCTCCAAGCTGACTCAGCCCCCAGTCCCTGGGAGAAACAGAAGTGGGTTTGCTGGGGGAAATGGTTTGAATGTGCAGCAGTCTATTGGTTTGGGCCAAGATCATGTATGACTGTATGGTGTCAGAAATCCCAGAATTTCAATTCGTGAGGAGGAAATAAAACTCGGGTTCGTGGGAAAGATCAAGCGTTCAGACCATCTGTGGCTTTATTGTTTGGCCCAGGTTCCCTCAGTAGACTCATGATAATGCATTACCGGGCAGGCAGAGGTAAACTTGCTGCAAGGTTTCAATACAACTACAGGGTATTTTATACCCTCCTGGTCACGTACACAGGTACAGAGCAATTGATGACAGAATGCAGGCATTACAATAAGATTCTGAGGTCATCACATACAGAACAGATAAAGGAAGATCAGCCAATCATACAGTGACAATGAGATTACCATATTTGTAATTGCCCTGTATTGACACTTTAGTTGAGTAACTTGAACCCATTTGCTTAAACATGTAAATTCAAGCTACTGAGAAACTATTCATGAACTCATAAGCTCATCTAGACTCAGACCCTAAGTAATGCATCCGCACCATTCTGAATGGCCAGGGCACATGGAGCCCTCTGGGCTAGCAAAAGATACCTCCTGGTAAACTGTGAATTCCAACAATGATGATTATTTAATCATTGTGAAGGTATATAATGTATATTTGGACTAAATGGCCTGTCTACTGTAGCTTACAGCTAAAGGTGAGAGGAGCGGGGGAGGAATGCCATTTTAAACAGTGACTTAGCTTGGTTTGAGAAGGAGCACAGGATTGATTCCACAATGCAAAAGCACACAGAAGCAATGTTTTTCTGACAGGATTTATCCAAATTTTCCCAACAATGGCAGGGTGCATTCCTGCAGGAACCTCCAAAGTTCCTCACTGCCTTTCTTCTACAAACAAACAAACAAACAAACAAAACCTTTTAAAAAATGAAAATCTTGGGAAATGTTAAGAGAGGTTTTCTTTCTTTCTTTCTCTTTCCAGCCTCTAGCCTGGCTTTTCCTCTCACCTTTACCCCATTCCCTTGCTGTTTCCCCTCTCTTCTGGCCTCGCTATTCCTATCCCCCATCTGATTAGTTTGCTTTTGACTGACCAGGCCCCACAGCAGCCATTATGCGATTAATCATGACCTCCATGGAAGCTATTTTGTGGTGATGCTGCTACAGTTTCTCAAATTCCCAAATGTGTCCATGGACCCAAAAGTTCAAGGAACTTCTCCGGTTTTGTTCGTCCAAGCGTTTCTGGGACTGCTTGGCTCTGCAATCATCTTTCTAGGCAGAACCTTGCTGTTTTCGTGAGTCATGTTGCCCAGTATTGGAGAGTGAGGTGCATATTTTTCCTTGGTGTCAGGGGTTCACACTAGAAAGGAAAATAGATGTGGGAGGAGGATAGGAGCGTCTCACCTTTTTATCTTCAAAATCCACAACACCTTATGACTCCTTAAAAACACACAAATTTACTGTGGCATGATAAGCTTTCATGGACTGGAGTCCACTGTACAGAGAGTTATTTGGAAAGATATTGCCTTTCATATAACTGGAGAAAAAATGCACTTGCAGAAATAAAGGTACCGGAGCCCAGATGACCTCTGCTGTGTCTGTTCCCCCCGGACTAGCTGACTTTTTGCCCACTCACGCTTCTCCTTCTGCTGCCTCCCTTGAATTTTTCTGCCAGAGCTTTTTCTGTGAAATCAAATGCCTGCTCATTCAACCCTTTGTATAAATAAAAGTGGCCTTTAAAGGCAGCCCCTTTAGACTCTCTCTCTCTCCCCCCCCCCCCCCCCCCGGTGTATAGCCAGAGGCAGCTTCTCAGACAGCTGATTTGGGGCATCATGAAAAAGCAGCAAATTATTCAATTTAATTCTCCCTGTTTTCTGATTGTCGCCATAGTTGCTGCCCTCATGATGTCTCCATTTTTGCCTTGTGGAGAGAAGTCTTGCAAAAACGTTGTTTAGTGTGTGTTTGTTAAGCGGTTGTTCTCCAAAGTGCCACCCTCGCCTTAGGGCCTGTAGAAGATCAGTCTCCAACTCGGCAGTGGATGTGGTTTGCCTGTGGTTTGCCTGTTCATAAACCTCCGCATGCCATGTAGTGAATCCATCAGGGAGAGCCGCACCCAGGATGGCTTTGGCCCATTGACCAAGAGCAGCAAACCGATTTTGATGCAAGCCTGCACTTCCACTCTTGTGCCAGGCCCTATATGGATAGGATGACGTATGGCACTGGCCCAGCACATTACATGGCAAATGAGCCTTGAAGCTGACAAATGCGAGGCCAGCTTTGTATGTCACTTAAGGGATATTTGTTGTATAATAGATTAGACAGAATCAAATCTTTTTCATTATCCCAGCACATAAATCGCTGTTAACAGCAAGGCAGTAAAGAGGAATTACTCGAGTCCATGCAATCTGAAGAAGCCCTATAATGCATTATATGACAAATAAAACTAAAACACAACAAATGAAGTGTCATCTTCCCACACTGCTCTCAAGGTTTCTCTCCTTGCGTTACTGTCACTTCTTATTTTCACTAGGGAAATAGAACCAGGGCACTTGTGGTTACTGGGATTTTCTGAACTTCGAAGCTTGATTCAGTGGGCTCCTATTCTCATTTCTGCATTTCAAAGGCAAAAGATAAGTATTTTTCAAAAGTGGGCCCTTTTCCTCCATTGTTTGAACATTTAAAACTTCTTTTATTTTTATACTGTGTGCTTTTTGAAACATGCATATTTCTTAATATGTGAATGTTTAAAGTGAACATTTTGTCAACACTAGTGCAAGTTTCAGAATGTGCTAGCATTTTAGGAGATCCTGTTCACAACCAGGGTTGTGAATGGGGTACTTTTTGAGAGACTTGTGACCTCAAAATTCTCTTGTATCCTTAATCTTCATTACAGTTATGCCTCTGGAAGCCTA